ACACAGCTGTAATGCTCCTTAGTGCAAGCACTTGAGAAATGCTAAATGAGGGTTAGAATTGTGCAAGCAGATGCTCAAAACTGTTTGGTGTTTTGTTGGTTTTTTTCTCTTCTCTTCATCAGATGCTTTTGTGTCTGCATTAAGCACCATTTATCCTCTTTTTTAAATAGGCTAAACAGCACATGCAAAAAAAAATTAGTTTTCATTGATTTAAGTGAATTACTTTGTGCTCTCAGTATTGCAAGTCCAGTTGTGTTTCAAGTCATACCAATAGAGTAAGTTGGAAACTGTGTGGAAACTGTGTGTCACACTCCTCCTTTTCTCTGCCAGTGTTTAATTATTGGAGGTGGCCCCTGTGGCCTGAGGACTGCCATAGAGCTTGCCTTCCTGGGAGCCAAGGTTGTGGTCGTGGAGAAGAGGGACACTTTCTCAAGGAACAATGTGCTGCACCTCTGGCCCTTCACCATCCACGACCTCCGGGGACTGGGAGCAAAGAAATTTTATGGGAAGTTCTGTGCAGGATCTATTGATCACATCAGTAAGTATCTGGGGACGTGGGCACTGTTTGGATAAGAGGTTACCAGGAGCAGAAGACTGATGGAGACCTTCTTGGTTTGGCAGAAAGTTCATCTGCCTTAACCATGTGCAAGTGCATGTGTGCACACAGAGGGGAAAAGAGATGGTCTTGTTTAAGCAAAGTGGCAATAAACAAGCTACAGTCTTATGGAGCAGATTTTTTTGTTAGTCTGGTATGGTTAAACAACAGGTTTGGATTATGAGGTATGAAGAATACTGATATTTATTCCAGTATATTGGAAGTAGACACAAATAGCAGTGGACTGTTTTACAGGGAAGTATGCTGTAAAATTTTGCATGTTAAAACATGCTGGTTGACACATCCTTTAAATATCATGAAGTGGCAAACCTCTAGAAAAGCATTCTAAGAAAGTCAACTGAAATAAGTTTTACTGACGAGATCATGCTGCAAGAGGAAAGGGAGGCGGAAGAGAACAACATCCTGTGGTGGTTGCTATGTTTGCATTGATTACAGCATGGGAAATAGAAATGCTGCACGCTTGTGCTCACAATGGATTTCAGTTCTGGGGCAGCTGGGGCTGCTTGCTCATCAAACACTTCTTTGTCACTTGCTCTCCACAGGTATTCGACAGCTTCAGCTCATCCTCTTCAAAGTTGCACTCATCCTGGGAGTGGAAATTCACGTGAACCTGGAGTTTGTGAAAGTCCTGGAGCCTCCTGAAGATCAAGAAAACCAAAGTATTGTTTATCATAATACAGTTCTGTTCACAGCAGCTTCTTTTTGTGCCTGATGCTGCGTGAAGTCCTACAAGGCAGTTGAACTCTGTTTAAAGAAAGAGTTTTTTTGCCCCTCTTATTCAGCCTTGCTCTGTGCAGTTACAGGCATGATAAGTGTCATGATAAGTGACAGAGCACTGATAAATCTAAAAATACAACCCAGGCTGAGAAGCTGAGGTTTTGCACTATGCCTTCTGGCATGTGTTTGAGGCTTTGTAGGGAGTCTGGTGTGGCTTCTTGGGATCTTCTTGCAAAAACAGATTTTGATTGATAATATAAATATTGAGGATGGATTAAATGCCCAGGGCCTTGTTTTGTGTTCACATTTGATATAACTCCCACTGCCACACAGAGTCTTATCAGCACTCTTATGCAAGATTTTTAAACAATAGAAAAAGATTTCTAATTTTCTGGGTTTTTTTTAAATATTAGTATTTAGGATGTAGTATCACTAAAACATTTTAAAACATTAATTAAAACACTATGGTGTCTCTTCAAAGGGTCATATATTGACAGTAGAAAAGATATGTTGGTTTAAGTAGTTAAAGTATATACAATTTTAAAATATGGACAGTACACTTTCACATAATCAGCTTTGTAAAAAGATTAAATTTAGCTTTGTGAGTATGCTTCCATTTAATTCCTATTTAGAAGACAATGAAAAGCATTGAGGATGGAATGCTATTTTTCTTCTTTTAGTAGCTAGCTCTTCCTCGCTGTAACCACATGTGTGTACTGCCCTGGCAAGGTGGCTGTGGGGCTATTCCTGTGAGAATCGAGTGCTTGAGCATCTTCTTGTGGTGTGGCTCTGAGAGGAAGTCACTGCATTAAATGATCCAGAGAATGACAAATGCACCCTTTCCTCAGACTCTGAAATCACCTCTCCATTGTAATACTGAAGAATTAATAAATATTATTTGTGTTTTCAGAGACAGGTTGGAGGGCTGAATTTCTCCCCATGGATCACCCTTTGTCAGAGTATGAATTTGATGTTATCATTGGTGCAGATGGCCGCAGGAACACGTTAGAAGGTGGGTGAATATGTTTCTAGCCTTATCGGTGGTCTTTAGGGTACCTTGAAAGATCTGACAGTCAGAGGAGAACACAAAGCAGCAGGTTACCTTTCAATCCACAAAGTCTGTGTGAAAGCTGTTATTTCATGTGGCACCTTTTGGTTTTGTGTAGCTCAAAATAAGACATTTAATGTCATTTGTGTTTCTGAGCTCTGTGTGTCTGCCTTGCATTCTGAATGCATCATGGTGCCATTGGGCCTGCTTCAAGGTTCAGTAATTATGTGAGGATTTAACTTGAAGGAGGCTGACATGTCAGGAATTGCATAGCCTGTGCTGTGAATTTGCCCTGTGTGCTTGAACTCATGACCAAAAGGTGACTGCCAGGTATTTAATGAAGGCAACAGGGGCTTTGCTTCTTTGTAAATGAGACTGAGCTTCAGAAGCAGTTCCTTTAGAAATAATAACAAAAGGTAATAAATAGCTCTAAGGGTGTGGGAGGAGAGGGGGTCAATGTTTCCTGGTCAGAGTCACTGCTGAGAATTCAGACACCTGAGCTGTGTTTCTTAGAGACACACTGGATAAGCTGCTCCTGCATCACAGGAACAAACCTGTTGCTTAATTATGTGTTTCTCTTTTAACTCTAATTATATCCATGCTAGTTTCCATTCTCTAAGTACACTTTTTCCTTTTTTTTTTATTAGCTTCATAGTTTGTCTGCTTATTCTTTTATCTGCCAACCACAATGTGCTTACAGTTAATTCCTCATAATGCTGTACTGGAAATTTCCCTACTTTGTTGTCCAGCTGTCCCCCATAAAAGACTGTTTGAATAGTCAGGCACCAGCAAAACCTAATTATTCTTATCTCAGCTACAGAGTCTGTTGAGAGGTTAATGTTTATTATCATACCAGGATGCAGGGGAGTGATTGGTGCACTGAAGATATGTACAGAAGCTGATGTTGTCATATCAAATCTGCCCCAGTGAAATAACGAGAGCATATCAAGAAGCACAGAGACAAAAATTCATTACCAATTTATTTCTTGTTGTAAAATAACTACATAATATTCTCTGAAGAATATTATCTGTAATACTCTCTGAAGTCATCTACAATGGGCTAAAGATACTCCAAGGATCCTCTGTCCTACTTCATAATTTAATTACTAAGCTAAGGGGAGCATAGAGATGGAAAAGCTTCAGTGTGTGATTGCAGGATTGTGGCTTAGGGGGCTCTTTTCAGTGAAAAGTGAAAGCAAAGATGAAGCAAGGAGCTTCTCAGTTGGTCTCACAGCAGCTAAGCCACTGAATACTTTTCTATCTCAAATATCTGTGAAAAATGTCATTAGCTGGTAGTGTGTGCACCTAAGCACTGTGACAGGTTTTTATTTTTCACATCGTTCTCTGCTGCTTTTGGCTGCTGATCTCTTGCCTCTTTTTTCATGAGGTGTTTACCACCTATATAACAAATGCCTAACTTGCCATTTAGCATGCTAAAAACGTTTCCCTCCACTGAAATGCACCTGTTCTATTTCCAGACATGTCAAAAAGATTTTTCATGTTTTTCTTTAGTCATATTTCCTTAACTTCTTCCCTTAATTCCCCACCCAACCATGTTTTTTTTCAGTGATATTCTATCTTGAATGCAGTGCAGCTCCAGTTTGGCAACTGAAGGTGGGAAAAAAAGATTCTTTACATTCAGGGGAATTTTGGAGGCATGGTGGAAACTACTGATGGCATGTTGATTGATGAAGCGTGGGAAAGGTTCTGAGCTGCCTTGAGCTGATGCTGCCTCAGTGTCCAGTCTGAAGTTTGCCATGGTTTTAATTCCTGTCTTTGCTCCCCAGGCTTCAGGAGGAAGGAATTTCGTGGAAAGCTGGCCATTGCAATCACTGCCAATTTTATAAACAGAAACACAACTGCAGAAGCCAAGGTAGAAGAAATTAGTGGGGTTGCTTTCATCTTCAACCAGAAGTTCTTCCAGGACCTGAAAGAAGAAACGGGTGGGTGCATCCTCATTTGTTCCACTACCAAATCCAAGAGGCAGCAGGGGAGCTCTGAGTGCCAGGCCACCCTCTTGTTACTGGTAACATCAGTTTTGAATAATGTGTATAAAAATTTTCCAAGTGATAAAATGTTGTTGATGTCAGAAGCTTGCAGATGAAGGTGTCCATTTATGGTACAGTGGGATATTTTTTTAGCTTGGGTGTTGCCACATCATGGCTTGTTTTAGTGTTTAAATTTTTCTCTACTGCAAAAATGTCTGCTATGTTGAACAAATTTGGAAGAGCACTTTCAGGGCCCAAGGATTTTCCCTTAAGACATGATTTGTTGTGTTTCTGTCCGTTCACATGCTGAACAGCTTAAACCCTTTGAAAAAGTCTCTGCCCTTCTGGGAGGAGTTTATTCCTCCTTTTTGATGTGTGGAGCTGATAAACTGAGAACTAGAATCTGCCATAAATATTAAAAATATAAACTGTGAAACACATCTTAATGGAAAGGGGTTTCAGAATAGTTGCATTCACTGTCAGTACAATCAATTCTATTCTAGATTTACAGCTGATTTTTAAAAAAATTATTATTATAATTAAAACCAAATCCCCTGGTTAGACCCAGTGGCAGAACCTTAACAACTCAAAACCCACTTTGTTCCCTTGGCACCCTGTTCTACCTCAGGAGCTGTTAATGCTGCAGTTACCTGGCTGTTCCCTGAAAGAATGCTGAATAAAGTGTGCTGAGGAGAGCTCCTGTTGGGCCAGACCGATCTCCTCTCTAGTTTTGTTTCCTAGCATTTTGCCCACTAATCCTTCATCCCAGCTGGGAGAGTGGGTGCATCCCAGGAAGGAGAGGCACCTGCTGGGATCAGTCCCACATTGTTAGAAGTGACACAGGCAGGGCACGGCACTCTCTGACCAATGTGTGTCTCTTTGCAGGCATTGACCTGGAGAATATTGTTTACTATAAAGACAGCACGCATTATTTTGTGATGACAGCAAAAAAGCAGAGTCTTCTGGACAAAGGAGTGATTATTAATGTATGTAAAAACGCTGGTAAAACCCTATTTTATTTACTTGGCCCAGAGTAAGTGTGAACACCTACATAAAGGCTGCTGCATGTTAGAGAGGGTGTTTATAGACTTAATCACTTCATTCAAGCTCAGGTCACTTGGATCTTACTCTGACAGTTTTAGAATTTGCTTTTCCCTTCAGTCAGCTCAAAGTTTCTGAAGAGAACTGAAAACAATACTTCCGAAATTAATCAGTTTTGAAACTGTCTGAAATGGGATCTTGACTTACCTTGGAAATACGGGGTGGGATCATCACAGCAGAAAATAAAAACCTCAGTTATTTAAGGGTGAACTTAGCACATCTATGTCCAGTTTTTTCAGGCAAATAAGGAAGTGTAAAAACCTACCCCAGGTTAAATTGCAAATTCTCTAAAGTGGGCAAAACATAAAGAAAGCTATATTCATGATGGCCTGACCTTTCAGGGAAATACTTGGGACTTTGAGGCATTTTTTCTTTTTTCTTCTTCTGTAAAATATAGGGTTTATTTTCTTTTGTTTCTAAAAAGTGTTATGGCACCACTTAAATTTCCCTTTCTGGAAACTCAAGAGAGGTCAATTTTTCTTGCAAAGCAATACTGCCAAAACAGCCAAATGTAATTTCCTGAAGGAAGTACTTGGAGGGAGCTGTCAAAGGGCCCTTGGCTTTCTGATGGGTGCACTTAGCTCAGTGCCATGACTCCCTGCCCTAGGGCAGAGCTGTGTCCATGAGCAGCCAGGGTGGGAGAGAGGAAGGGTGGAATCCTTTGGGGGCCCTGGGGCTGGTGTTTGTAGGTGAGGGCAGTCCCAGGGGATGTGTGGAGGGTTTGGAGCAGAGGACGAGCAGCTGTGGTTCATCAGAATTGTTTTCCTGACCTACTCAGCTCTGAGTGGGAAAAAAAAAAAAGCCACCCCAGTGTGTCTGGAGCAACTGGGCTAATAGGGGTTCTGTGGTATCAGCTATGATTAGGGGTCTCATCCATGATTAGGCTGGAAATAGAACCTGCCTTATTAATGATCACTGCCTTTAAGTAGGATGACCTGTAAAGGCAGGCTCCTTCACCACTCTGGCCAAAAAACACCCCATCCCAAAAATGAGCAGCAGAAAAGCTGCTGCAATCCGGGTTTGAATGTGGAGCTGTTCCTGAGGTATCCCTCAAACCTGGAGGCTGAGCCCCACGTGTTACAGCAGCAGAGTTTCTGCTCTCCTGTGGTTTCAGATGTGAGGGGCAGGTGTGCAGAAAAGCCTTGCAGTGATGTGGATAACATCTTTTGATGTGAGGGAAGTAATGTTATGAAAACATCACATAACCAAGGAGCTGGGAGGAGCTATAATCTTCCCTTGCAAACAAAGCTGCTCGTTCAGTGTGGGCAAGGAGAGTTTCCTTGGGGCAGTACCTGTGTTTGTGCACTGCCTTTTCAGAGGAGATGACAAGTGTCACTTGTTTCTCATTGCTATGACATGTGTGGCTCCCAGTCCTGCTGTGAGGCTGCAGTGTTCCAGTTCAGAGAGGATATTGGATATTGGATATTGGATATTGGATATTGGATATTGGATATTGGATATTGGAGTCTCTCACCGCACATCCTCCTCTCCTTGCAGGACTCCATTGACACCGAGCTGCTGCTCTGTGGGGAAAATGTGAACCAGAGCAATTTGCTGTCCTATGCCAGAGAAGCTGCTGACTTTGCAACCAATTACCAGCTGCCTTCCTTGGATTTTGCCATTAATCACTATGGGCAGCCAGACGTAGCAATGTTTGATTTTACCTCCATGTATGCATCTGAGAACGCTGCACTGGTGAGAGAGAGGCACAGACATCAGCTCCTGGTGGCCCTTGTTGGAGATAGCTTGCTTGAGGTACATCTTGGAATGCCTTCCAAGTAGTATTTTCAGGTTTTTTTTTATTTTATTTCCTTCATCCAACCATTCAGTTTACCTTCCAATATAAAATGTCCTCTTCTATATGTCATGAAACAGTGGTACCCTCTTTGGAATAGACTTTTTTCCCCCCTTTTTTCTTTTCTCTTTCTTTATGCCATGGTTTGTCATAGCTAGTGCTTGGCTGACAGCCTCTGGCTGAGATCCCATTTTGCTTTATGCAACTTGTGTTTCTGTCTGAAAACTGTGAGCTCCGTGTCCTCAGCTTGGGTGCATGGCATAATTTTACTGAATTCCATCATAGACAAAAACTTGATCCAAATTATTATTGCAGTCTCTTTGCCTTAGTACCTTCCCTTTTTTTTTTCTTTCTGAAGTGAAGAGTGTATGCTGCAATTTTTCTTTTTTTTAAACTCACGCTGACAGCCTGAGGCATTTGAAAAGAACAGTCCAAAGCAAATTTAGGAAGTGAGAAGAGCATCTTTTTTTCCTTGAGTAATTCTCGAGTCTTCTTTTTTTTTTTTTTTTTTTTTTTCTCAGCCTTTACCTTTTGAGGCTAAGACATTTGTTTTTAAATGTAGAAGTTTAAAAAAAGGAAAAAGTGGAAAAAAAAGTCATCTTTTTTCCCTATCTAAGACTTAAAGGAGAGTCATTTTTAAAACCTGCCAGTGCTGCCCGTGTTGCATTTTGACTCTTTTTTCGAGACGGTCTGAAACCCTAGACTCCAAATTCGCATTGGAAGCTGCTTTTGTAGTAAGAACTTGATTTGAAGTGTGAGGATTTGAAGTGTGAGGATTTGAAGTGTGAGGATTTGAAGTGTGGCTGTTTCTTGCAGCCCTTCTGGCCGATGGGCACTGGCTGTGCCCGGGGCTTCCTGGCTGCCTTTGACACGGCGTGGATGGTGCGGGGCTGGGCACAGGGCAAGCCCCCGCTGGAGATCCTGGCTGAGAGGTGAGTGCTGCCCCCCACAAACCTGGAATTCTGCACCTCCTGCCACTGAGCCCCTGCAGAACACTGCTTGGGACCTCAGGAGGCTTCCCAATTTCCCAGTTGAGTTAAAAATCACTCTGTAAATAGAAGAGTGTGATTTCACGTGGTGAAGGGTTTGGAGCTTGGGGTTTTTATAACGCAGTAATAGGGATGGGATGAGATGGAGGGTTTTGGGTGGTGTCTCTGTCTGTGCTCATCTTCCTTCTTTTTCATGGTTTCAGGCAGTAGTTTGTGGTTGGTCAGAGTCACACTGAGGGTCACAGGAATTTGGTCAAAAGTATCAATAATATAGGTGTTAATTCTTTGTTATACTGCTTAGCTTTAAGAGACCTTGTAACTAGCTAGGTTCACCTCCATTTTGCTCCCTTTTAGCTGGTAGCTAGAAGTGTTCCTGAACTCTCTGTACTTTAGATAAGATTTAATAAACAACCAAGCCTGAAAATTAATCTCCTTCATGTTTTTAATCCTGGTTCTGAGTGAAGACAGAAGAAACTTCAGGCAAACCACTAATTAAGTGGTGCAAAACACCACTCCTTTACACGGTCCCCAGCATTTCCAGTGCTGTGAAGAGCCACAGCAGTGCTAGATGACAGTGGGCTTCAGAATGCTCTCAGGAGAAATATTATTAGGGTTTAAAGCACTGATTTATGTTGCTTAAGTGTGATTCTTAAAGAAATGAACCAAGGAGACCTTGTACCAAAAAAACCCCAAACCTCCAGCCATCTCCACACCTGTTTTTTTGTCATAAAAATAATAATAATAAAAAATCCTGAAAGGAGTCTAAATAAATAATTCTTCAACACTAACAGCTTTCAGAGTTGGTCTCTGTGATTTTAACTCCTTAGTGGTGCTCTCTTTAGGCCAATAAATATGTGGCAAAGGAGAATTGTTATAATGCTGCACCAGAAGCTTGTTTTGACTGGAACAAGAAAACCTGTTGTTAAGTACAGCAGCAGTCCTGGTGTCACCGTGGTCTGCTGGTTGAAGTTGCTGACTTAGGTCCTGCTGGCAGCCACCCTGCTCTGCTACAGCTGCCCAGGCTGTTTTGAGACAGATATGTAATGGGGAGAGTCATGGCTGTGGGAATGCAAGCAGGAGCTTTACTAACCCCAGCACTTTGGGAAGATTTAAGGTAGAAGCCTGTGGGATGACTCAAACACAGCCTAGTCCCAAATGGAAAATTGAACAGCACAGTGAAAACAGCTATGGTGGTTATAGGAACTGCAAGATGACAGGATTTAGTGCTGTTATGTGGTAAAGAACTTACTCCTTGAGTAGATGTTAAAGCAAAACCAGATGACTGGATGATGTAACCTCCTTTCTTTTTTTTTTTTTTCCTTCTTTTTCTTGCTCACTTCCTGCCTCAGGAAAATATGGACATAAGCTCTAAGTGTCCTTGTTGTCCCTTTTCTGTCTGGCATCCTTCTGTTGAGTGAGGATAAGAAATGGGATGGATGCATTACGCATTTAGTCCATAACACTTGTTCTGGCAGAACCAAAATAAGGTTCAGGCAGCTGCAAAAAATCCCCACTCTCTTTGTATAATAAATATTTATTTTAATACATAACTCTTGCATCTTTTTCCTCTGCAAGAGAGAGCATTTATCGACTCTTGCCTCAGACGACCCCTGAAAATATTAATAAGAACTTTGACCAGTACACCATCGACCCAGGAACAAGATACCCCAACTTGAACTCGAGCTGTGTTCGACCTCACCAGGTCAGTACTGAAAAGGCTTGCTTGTGAAATCAGTTCTTTTTTTGTCAAGGCTAAATAGAGCTGCAAGGAGTGTGTAAACAAAATCTTCGGGAGACTCCTTAATTTAGAACCAGCTGCTGATAAAAGTTAACCTGGAAACAAAACTTTTATTTTGTCTGGTGTTAGGCTGGTAATTGCTTTTCCTTGTAGGTGAGGCAATTATATGTTACCAATGAGCTGCAGCAGTGTCCTCTGGAAAGGGTGAGCTCCATCAGAAGATCAGTGAACCTCAGAAGACAAGGTAAGTGACACCTCCTGCTTGCTGTGGCTTCACATGTGTGGCCTTCTGAGCATGCAAAAGCTGACTGAAATGTTTGTTCTGTTTGTGCAGAGTCAGATATTCGGCCTAACAAGCTTTTGACGTGGTGCCAGAAGCAGACAGAGGGGTACAGGAACGTGAATGTCACTGACCTGACCACCTCGTGGAAGAGTGGCCTTGCCCTGTGTGCCATCATCCATCGCTTCAGGCCTGACCTCATGTAAGTGACACCTCTGGAGCTGCCTGGGTGGGGCATTTGGGCAGTGTGAGACCAGCCAGGACAGCCCTGACTCTCTGCAGTCCCTTCTGGGGCTGCTTTCTGCAAGGAAGTGCACGGCATGGCCAGGTTTGGGGGTGGTCAGGGTGGGCTTGGGTTTGCTTTGTTTCTTCTGTGTGCCCTTGCATGTCGTTTAAAATGAAATAGGTGTGCTTTCAAAGAACTAGGAAGGCTTGGAACCATCTGATTTATCATGTTTGTGGGAGTCATGTGTCTGTCTAATGGCAGTTCTGGGGGAAGGTGTAGAGCTGCATTCCGAAATCCCTGGAGACAGGTTTTGGTGTTTGTTTGAAAGCACAGCCATGAAGGACAGTCCTGAGTTCCAGGTGAGCTGAGTGAGCCTGGAGTGAGCCATCCTCTGTGTGCTGCACTGGCTGCTGTGACAGTCACACAGGGAAATGTTGGGCCAGGGAGGTGGAAGTTTTGTACAATTCTCTCCAGGAGAGCACAGAGCCCTTTCACGTGGGCACAGCAAGGGCTGGGCCTTGGAAATGAGCTGCCCTAGGGGTTGAGTGTGAGCCAGCATTCCCCTTTTGGCACAGTTTCTGGCATCCTAGTGCTGCATGACCAACTTCATGCATCTGAATATTCTGTAATGTCCCATAGTTAGATACAAGTGTGTAACAGGTGCCAGGAAATGGCAATTGCTGGCACTGCTGGGTGCAGTCAGTGGGGTGACTCTCTCTTCTCACCAGTCCCTGAAATGTGGTGGATGCATTCTCTTCCTACAGAGCCTTAGGAGTCACACACGAATTACTGTCAACCTCCCTTTATTGTGGATAAATGAAAGGAATGATTGAGCTTCTTTATGAGGTGTGATAAATTGGAAAAAATAGGAGTGGTACTTAGGGTGCTTGTTTGTACAGATTTGCCAGACTAAGAGCTGAGACTTAAAGAATAGAATTTTTTTTTGCCTTGGATTAGTTCAAAACAATTAGAATTATGGGGGTTTTGGGGGAGAGGATACAGAAAGCGAAGTAATCTTTGCTGCCTGTGGAAAACATGTTCTCTACACTGCTCACTATGAAGTGGATAAATTTATCTTCCCGAGCTAACAGACCTCCTGCTGTTCAATTAACATTGTGTTTGGATCTTGCTGGCGTTTTGTATTCAATGAGCCTGCAGGAGGACTTGGCTGGATGAAAGCCAGGCAGGCAGGAGGGGTGGCTGCCAGTGACGGCCCCCAGCTTCAGAAATGGGCAGTGGGTGGGAGAGGGAAGAGGAGAAATGCTTTGGGGATTCAGAAATTCACATTCCACTGTGAGGAGAAAGAAACTACCCTGCCTGGAGCTTTGTAATTTATTCACATGTTTATTTTAATCACGAATTTTGGAAGCTGTTCAAAAGATCAGAGTCTTAGAATAGGTCCCATAGAAAATGGATTAGAGAGTGGGTAACAGAGTTCCAGATGTGTGATGTACTTATTTAGTGCACTGCTAAATTCAGTTAGGACCTGGGCAGGAGGTCCCTGCTCAAACTGTGCATGTAACACTTTAAAAAAGGAAAGGTAGTGCCTGTGCATGTGTGTGCACACACATACAGCATGGTACTTCTATAGAATGCTGTCCTAAATTTATTCCTCCTGGCTTTGATGATTTAGAGAACTAATTGAACCTAAGTCATCTATTGCTAATGGATGAAGTCTGTAGCAGTTCAGCTGTATTTGGAGAAGGAAAAGGTTTCTTAGCACTTCTGAGGAAGAATTGCATCTCTCCATAAATAAGAGGACCTTTTCTTGTGGGACTGCATCAAGGTCCAGTTCAGTGAAAAAGCTTTTGAATTGCATTTCAAATAACAAATATTTCTGCAATAAGGGGATTAGTGTGAGGCTGTTACCTTTGGCACTGTGTGGACCCTGAGCTCTGGC